CTGCAATAATAACATTTCTTCATAAAAATGTTTTTATATGTGCATAACATCAATACGAATGAAAATGGTGAATACTAGTATAATAGATATTACGTGACAACAAATTCTTTATTCTGTAATAGAAACAATTGATTTTTCTTTAAAATTATAGTATCTTTTAGTGGTAATAAAATGAATTTATAGTTATGTTATAAAAAATTAAAATTGTGGCATTTCAAAGTAAATACTGTAATATGTATATAGGCCTACAAGGCTGGATCTTATTGCTTGTGTATGCGTGATGCAATCGGTTTCACCATTAAAGGCACTCAAAGACGTCTATAAAGAAACACATTACAAACCAATGGCTAATATACTGTGTAGTGATGTGCATCGGAAAGGAAATAATCCATTAACCTAGAAATCGATATTCGATATAATCGATATATGCTGCCGAAGATATCGATTAATCGAAGTATCCAATTCATTATATCCGTTTCCTTAATAAAAGAAATAGACAATCATTTCTTCTTGTAGTAGTGTAGGTCAGAGTTATAAATGAATAAAATGAACAATGAAGTGCGTAAATGAGGGTATTATTAACAAAAATTGATGATATATTTTTTCATTTTTTCCACATATTGTTTTAAATTTTTATGTCTCATTTTGTTTTCACGAATACCTGAAGCTGGAATCGGCGCAGAAATCAAGGCGTGAAAATGGTTTTTAGTATTTTGAACCATTCTGTAAATGGAAAAAAAAAACAACTGGAGTATCTTTACATGAATTCTCATATAAAGATAAATCCAAGGCAGTAATGGATAAAAACATTGCACGTAAGGGAAAAGATAACATCCGATGCAACATCCAGATAAGTTAACATAAGTATAATAATTTATTTAAAATGTGTTATTTGTGTATGACTTATAGAAAGACCACAATTATGAATGAGCTGATAGACGTTTGTTGGCCGACACAAAGCTGAGATCAAAACATTTTTTCAAGTAATAATAGTAATAATAGTAGTAATCAGTGCCGGCCCGAGGCACGTTTTAGGATGGAGCGAGATCCTATTATGGCGCCCCGTTGGTTGCCCCTAATTTATACCCTTTAATTTTCTTTACCACTGAGGCGCCCCTAGGACTTCGCGCCTGGAGCGGCTGCTCCGTTCGCCCTATGGTAGGGCCGGCTCTGGTAGTAATAACAATAAACAGATTGCAGGAAGGCATTACACACGCATTACATTACAGAATAGATTACGCAGCATCTTATACTACAGGAATTGGACAAAAATAATTCGAATACACCCTGTGTTTCACATTTTCAAATTGAACTCTTCCCGAAATAAGTGCAATCACAGGTACCACCTTTTTTCACCATTTGTGTAGTTTATTAATTGTCGATAAACTTCATTACTTTTGCTGTTGAAAAAGCTATTTGCCTGTTTTTAGGGCGCAATTATGTAAAACCTAACAGATTTCCAGAAGAGAATGATTGTTGGTGCACACCTAGTAGAGTTTCTCTGACACGAGTTTCTGAGTTGATGGGTGTAGCGAGATATACTGTTTCCTTGATCATATCAGTACGCAAAGACAAGCAAAATATCTGCCGACAGAACTAGCTATAGTCCAATGTCAAAGCTGGATTCGAGAGTCAGAACACTTCTCGAATTGTAAGGAGAAAACATATAACTACACAGAGCAAATTACTGCAAAATTGGCTGCAAGTGCAAAGATATCAGTATCAGTGAAAACCGTTCCGACGTGCATTGAATGAAGATAATAGCGAGGTAGCGGCCGAAGTTTTTATCTGTAAAACGTGAACGTCGGACGTCGAGCGCCGCTTGACGTTCGACTTTCGCGTTTTAGAGAAGTAAACTTCGGCCGCAACCTCGCTAATATCAATGACAAGGCTGCAATAATCAAATCTTTGTTGACACCACGAAACATCAGACAGCGTGTGCACTGTGCAATGGTACAAAGAGTTCAAAACATGAACACCAGAGATATGGAAACGTGATATGGTCCGAAGAGTCAACTTTTACCGTTTACCAAAAGTGGCCGATGGTAATTTAACTAGTAAAATTATAACAAATACAAAAAATGTCTTCACAATCGCCGTTTCAATCAATATTTTGACAACCAAAAAACGGTGGATTGGTGAAGACTTTTTTTGTAATCTTCTTTATAATTTTTACTGTTTCCCACTTCCAGTTGTGTTTATTTCTAGAGATCATTGGGTGAAGCATTGGATGAAACTCATTGTCAACCATGGCGGAGGTTCCTGTATGATTTGGGATACGATATCATTCAACTCGTTGAGTCTGATAGTTGCCTGGAAGGTAAAGTAACAATACAGGGATATCTATACAATCTGAGCTCCATCCTATTCTCCGAACTTTGTTTTCACTTGACGATGCAAATCTTTCATGAGGCCAATGCTTCTATCCATATGGATGTGTTCGATCTTGGTTCCATGGCATGAAACTGAACTAAAGCACCTATCAAGGCCCAACTTAACTATATACCAACTTCCGGTTTTGGACCAGAAGTCACGTTACTTCGACTCAAAATTTTCCACCGAATGGAGTTAAATAGATGACCGGCACGACTCTATTGCTAACAGGAACAGTATGATGTACAGGGGCCAGACACTACTAAAAGAATTGAGAACATTGTGACGAAAAATTACAGTTCGGCATTGTAACGATGTCACAATAAATAATCGGTCGTTAGAATTGGTTTGGTTTATTTGGTTACGGCAATGCGACACGTGAGTGATCTGCCAAGAAGGATGCATCCCGGAAAGACTTTTATCAGAAGCTGGACCTATTTAGGTGTTTCTAACGTGAAGAAAACCCGAAAAACTCCACATAGCTAGCCTGCTGGCCATGCCCGAACCCACGACTATCTAACTACCAGAGTTTGGTTGTTTTATCCACTCGGCTACTGAAGGACACTTATTAGAATTAAGAAAGTACCGCTCAGAAATGAAAAAAACTCGAGTTCTTAGATGTAGAAAATTAAATACAGTACTTATCATAAAGTGAAACTTTCCATTCCAAGCAGGCAAGTGCCATATGCTACCTGTCGCAGTAATGATATAGCGAGTCTATTTCGTGCTATATCTTTGTCGCAGCAATTAAGTAAATATAATATATTGAATATTCTGGTTATAGCTGTATTTATTCGTTTGTGAATTTTTTGTCTCTTTAATCCTTTTGGTAGACTATCTCACAGCAAAGGTTAATAAATTCTTTTATTAGTTTTCACATATGCATTTCGAACCGGTGTAACATTTCGGTNTATTGATTATATAGGAAATGGGCCGAGCAATAAATATATGCTCAGTAGTATCAATACATAGTGTTATGTAACGTGCGTGTCTGTTTGTACAAACTGCGCTTATAATTTACATAGAAATGTGCCCATCCCAGACGTTTGTTTACGTTAAATTTTGATGGATTCTGGTGGTAAATACTTAATTTCGCTCGTTATAATAAGGGGGAATAGGAGTTAGAGGCCAACTTAAATTTTCTCGAATTTATTCTTGGAGTGTTTCTCAAAAATGCCGACGTCTGTATTATTCTCTGGCCTTCGAGTAGATAAAAATCTTAAAAAATAATTCTAAGAATGGTAAAGGATCGTGTGTCGACCAATTAGTAGTAGTAATTAAGGTACACCCACGTCGAAATACGGTCATTAACATCCTTATCAAAACATTTTGTTTCTGCATCATACAGCATTTCGTTAATGAATGGAGCTGACGTATTAATATATCATTAAAAGAAATAATAGCCATTGATTTCCAGAATGATTCTAAGCTAATGTTTTTCTTCTTTTTTTGCTTTTTATATGGAAATGCTGGAGATTGTTTCCATCGATAAGGAAATAAATTAAGTTTATTTAATTTAATTTAATTTAGAGAGAAAATTATGACTCCAGATGAACATCTTTGATAAAAATTTCTCGTTTGTTCCTGTAACGAGTCAATGTTGGATGATGATGAATGAATCTTTCTTCAATTTTGACGAAGATATCACCGACTTGGATAGCATCTTTTTAATTAAATAACTATGCTAAATTTGGAAACTTTCTATTTAAATTAGCGATAAATAACTTCTCGTTAACTGGATGAACTTGTGTTATCAGCTAAAGATTTATATAATGCGATATTAATAAAAAGTATTCCTATTTTTAATGATGCACCTAACAACTTGAAGTTTCTTCTTTGAGAAACTTGAATAATTATATGAAGAGTTGGCTTATTGATAAATTTAAAATGTAATTTTATCATAATAATGAGGAAAGTGTTTATTTTTTCTCCCCCTATATTTTTATTTTTGTATTTTCAAGTTGTCATAAAAATTTTCATATTGTTTTCAATGACTTGAACATCCTCTCCGCATCAAACTGATACACAAATCAGTTTTATGTTTATGTTAATAACCATATAAAATAGTTCTAAGGGATAAACAGGAAAAAATAATAAATAGAAGGATTATTCTATGATGATGATGGAAAAAGTACGCAGAGAGGATTGCTGAATACATATAAAGCAGATCAGTGACATTTGTAAACAAAAAGGAAAATGAAACAGCGATGAAAGGAATGCTGTGCACAAAGATAAGAGAAAACGAGGAGGCCGATCTAATAAAATTTGGTAAATGCAAATAGAAATATCAGATTGCTAGATACGGGGATGTGGAAATATCATTAGATCGTAACTTATGCGGAAATAACTGAAGAATAAGAAAATTACTACGGCAACACATTATGCTGATGTAGTGCAAAGTCGCATCATCCGAATGCTTGAAAGGATACGACGTCCAAAACATAACTAACATTTCTCGGATTATTCGACAAAACATTTAAATATAGAATTTAGAGACAGAGATTTAATTGGAGTGAAACAAAATTTTGTGCGTTTATAAATTTAAAATCTTAAATATTATTCATCAATAACTTGGGTTTTTGAAGCAAGAATGTTTTTCAAAATGGGAAACACATTTATCTATATTCTTTATAATCAAACTATAATAAATTTATTATTAATTTTTTTTTTAAATCTATACTTACATACAAAGTGCAAAATTCCTTAAAATCTCACTTTACTTTTTGAATGTAGAATCAATATTACTAAAAGCAATAATGATATAAACTTTACTGGGGATAATTTCACTTGCAATTTCTCCAAATTATTGGAATGACAGAGAAAAAGTACAAGTTTCACTTCAAACATTTTGTACATTTGTTTTTTTATGGTATTTCTTATCTAAAAAAAATATTTGTATTTTCCATTATTTTATAATTTTATATTATTTTTTAGATATGAAATCTTTTTAATTAACACAAATAATGCAATGAGAACATTTTATAAATTAAATATAAAAATAGAGAAATTAACAAATTAAAAGAGTAATTAACTTTTTTTTTAACTAATATAATTTTAAGGAGATTTTAAATTATTATACAGTTTGTATGGCACCTTTATGTTTGGTCTTTGAAGAAGATTTCTTAGTTTTTGTAGGTGAACCGCTAGTTTTTTGATTCGAAATCTCTTGCGTTCTGAGGTTGGCCACCCGTCTTTGTGCTTCGAACGAAGAGCCCGCTTCCGCCGCCGTCTCTTCCACCGTCGAACAGAAAACGTCATTCTCCTCAGAATCGTTGGCCGCGTGTTCTCTCTCCTCGTTCGACGACGATTCGGTGGCACAACAGGGTTTCGTACACACGCTCGGAGGACTTTCCAGATTTTCGTCCAGGGAGAGTTCGGTCTCCGCCGGAGGCAGCGGGATCGAAGTTCCGAGCACGATTCCGGCGGACCCTGGGGGCAGTCTCGAAGTCTGTGTCTGACCGGTACTTCTGGTTACGGGATATGTACACTTGTCGGAAAAATGACTCGAATCATCCAAGGCACTAATGGCTAAACCATCTTTTGAGTTAACAATAACTGGATTTCCCGGAGAATGATGAGAAGTATCTGTTGGCACATTAATCCTAGCCTATAAAATAATTCCATTTTTTAGTAATTTCAAATAAATTAAATACAATTAGATATGCTTTATTTTAATGAAGAGATTATATCAGACTTTATAAACTGAAATAAAACAAATTAAAATACAGAAGTCATTAATTTTTATTCAAATTTTAATAAAGTTTTCAAACATTTTAATAACTAAGTGTAATTAAAATTAAATTTATCTGCTTTAATTATTTGTTGTATTAGAATGAAGCCGATGCCGAACTGACAATTTCAAAACAGAATTGTTAAGATAAAACTGATTTCAATATTGTCATTATTTCCTGATTTAAATTATTAATATTCCCCCCCTTTGATTTTCTAAGTATCCAGAATACTAGAAAATTTCTAATTTAAAAAAATGTAGTAAAATTCCATCTACAAAAGAACAGAATAAAATAACAAAATAATTACTGTTATAATTAGCTTGTTACAGAACTTTTCTTATAGTTAGAATTATTAAATAAGTAGCACACAGTAAGTAAATTTAGCTTTACTACATTTTCTAATAAAAGTAATTTTTCTGTTTGATATAAATTATATTATTCTAACAAAGTGCTTTATCTTCATTTAAGTAAATAAAACTGTAAAGTATTTTAGAAGATTACATAAGAACTTAAAATGTCTTGTGAAAATACATAACAGTCAAAGTGCGCTTTAAAGAAGACAATTTGAGAAGTAGATATTTAAGATATAAAACTGTCAATGTTTGCATTCTCAATCAATAAGAATTTAGATCATATCTGATAGCGAACAATCTTCGATAAGAAATCATCAATTTGTGGGTTACTTTTTGAATCGTGCTGTATTACTCAATTTATTGTCAGTTACAAATATATCAAAAATGATTAATTACTGTTAGATATTAACAAATACAATTTATTCTATGGATGTTATATATTTCATATGTATATTTAACTAAGTTACTAATTATCAGAGATAATAGTTAATGTAATGTACTAAACATTTTTGATTTCTTCAAATACTTTTTGTATAATTTTATTAAGGCAAGAAGTGAGCATTCTTTTATTCTATTAATGTAAGCATTTGATCTGCATTTGATCTGTAGTTTTACACTTGACAAGATATTATACAAATAAGCAAACAGTATATAAATTTATTATATAAATATATTTTTGAATATGAATAAAGATTCCCAGAAGAGATAAAATGAAACTCATTTTGATTTATTTAACTTGGCAGCAAGCACATTGTATATCCTATTAGAAAGAGGTACACGGGGGCGTGTTATATCTCAGTGCCTTAATTTTTAATAAAACAAGCTAAAATATTCAAAATATGATTCTTATTTAGTATTTATTTCTTTGTTTATAGTACATCATACCATTACTAAACCATATATTTTGGAGAAAAGATAAAAGAAAACAGATTAAAACAAAATAAAATCATCCTTGCTAAAATAATCATCCTGTTTTGTATTTGAAATCACTCTTAGCTGATATGTTAGCATAACTTTTATTGCAGTATATTTCATTGTGTATGCATGTGTGTTATGTATGTATATGCACACACACACACATCTCACTGCATAATACAATGGCAAAAATTTCCCGAACTATTTATATAATTCATTTTTGTATATTTTCAGGCATTATAATATTTTTTCAATGTCTAAATAATAAACAATAAGCAATAAAATTCAAATCTATTGAGGAAAAATCAACTTTAGATTTTATAAAAATAGGATAAATTTATACTTATATAAATGTGATGAAAGTAAAATGTGAAGTCTTTTATAAAATTCAAGAATTTTATGGAAGAATTCACATTTTCAAATGATCAAAAAATGACAAATGGTACTAAATGACCTTATAACAATCGTCCCGTCTGAGTCAGCTATCGATTATCTTCACTTAATGTTCACCATATTATCTGCTTTCGAGTGAAATCATCTGATATTATAAATTATCATGACCTATATGAAACGAGAACATCACAATTGTATACGTGCTATTTTATAATTATTTACTTTTTATAAATTAATAATTCTTTTAAATTATATTTTTATGTAATACAATATCTTTAATTAACAGATTAATATATTATATATAAAATACATCTTGTCGAATATTATTTCAAAATCGTTCTTCGATCAAAATGTGATTTAAATTCTTATTATTTTAAAGATATTCTTTACACTATGATATTAATAATACTGGAGATTTATCACTCGATACACCAGCTGTCTGATATCCTAGACCGCTGGTGGCCAAACTTTTCCATTGGCGGGTCAAATTGCGCATAAGACGTAGGCGGGCCATAAATTTTTGTGTATTCCATATGTATTCAAAGTAAGCCTATTTTTATCATTTATAATTGGTGTCAAATATATTCCAGAAGTCGTAGTTTGAGCATCACAGTCGAATGACTGCTCTAAAGGGTCTTAAGTCTGGTTATATTATGGGTCTGAATGAGCCCGTGATAAGCAGTGCCTGCAGGGCTGATTTCTTCCCCCTTGGATGGTGCAATATAAATTTTTAACCAAATATGAAAATTGTGTATCAAAAACTATCAAAATATTTAAACGAATACCTTTACCAGGTTTACTATATTAATGTCGTGCATTATTATGATAAATGTAACTGTGGGTGATCTATCGAAGGGTGATACCTCCCGGGAGGATTTTCTATGGGAAATTGGCCATTTAGGTGTTACTAACGTAAAGAAAACCCGGAAAATTTTACATGGCCAGCCCGTTGGAGAGGCGAGGAACCCACCCAGATTCACTGTTCAGTGGTTTTATTCACTCGGTCATAACTGTACAGAATTTCATATTATTTTTCTGTATGAAATTTATAATATCATTCTTTATGGTTATCTAAAATCACAAACTTATATATATATTGTCATTTTAAATTGCTTTGGCATTATAGTATCGATTTTAACTTACTATTCATGATAACGCAGATGTGTTTGAGTTATCACGAACTGTGAAGTAAATTTGATTATATCTTTTGTTATTTGAACTACATATCCACACTCTTCACTTCTGTCTTTACCTCTCTATTGTGAATAATGAAAATAAACATTCAAATAGAATCTGATTTCATTATCTTCTTTGATTTTTCATAATTCATATAATTATATGAAATGATAAGATTCAATTTCTGTATAAATATAACATATAACTGTCTATACATCAGTAAAGCTAATTTGGCTGTTTTTAGGATTCAATATTTAATAAAACAGAAATTATTCTGTGTTTAAATTGTTTTCTTACAATATATTAACTATCGATAAAACATTTCTTCATTCAAATGATTAAATGGAAAATGTTACATCTTCTGGCAAAACTTCAAAAAACACATGTATTTCGAAATCAGATTTTCTTTTATTCTAGAATACGTGTTTGGAACAAATTGATTTATTATGTAAGATTATATATACAGTATCTTACTTTTGCTTTGTAAGATACCAAATGGTTGGTTAACGTTTACTTCTATGAGGAATTGGAAACAGAGCTTCAATCCTACAATTCAGCGTGAATAGTAAGAGTTGAAGCATCGCTCCTCATCCCTAACCCACGATCATCAATCAATTTCAGATCAGTTCCGCCCATAATGAGCGAAACTATAGCTTGCCATTTAACTTTACGTATGCTTATGGCCTCGTGTTGACCAATTATAATAAATTTCATTTTCTGACAAAACCAACTGTAAGGACAGTTATGTAAATAGGGATTTGAATTCATAATACTGATACTAGTAAACATTGATAACGTGACAATAAAAGTATTAGTTTTCTTAAAGAAAACAAAGATGTACTGCACATATTATTTAAACACAATTACTTATGATATTAATTTTTTAGATTCTTCATAATCTTACGAACATTGAAGACCGTTAGGTCACTTCATTTGATGGTCTAAACAGAGTTCTTAGCACGATTACGAATAAAGAATCCGATTCTTTCTTCTTTTCGTATGTATATGTCAAATTACAGAAGAAGATTTTATCTTCATTTATAATTTCTTCAGACTGTGGTAATTTCATCTCACAGTTTTCTTTGAGAATATTTAGTTATCCACTTTTCTACAAGGTTTTAACACCCCAAGTGTCGGTAGTCAAATTGTCTCTAAGTCTAATCATCTGTCTTCCTGTTTGCCTGTAGTTACAGCAGTATAATCAATAATCAACTTTCCTATTTTGGTGGCGCAGTCCTTGTACAGCAAAGAAACGAATGTGCATAATGACACCTTCTCGCCATCGTCTCTCCTATCTCATTTGCAGATTCATTAATCACTTTGGTTAATTACAGTTACAAATAATTATAGAAGTGTTTAAACACATTCTCATACGTTTGAAACGTCATTATAAACAGCTGTATATATACATTAAATATGAACTATTCAGCAATATATATTTTATAACTGTTTATAATAATTATCAAAACAATTAAAATAGAATATCTTTCTCACAATTATCATTTCGTTGTTTACTTCAGTAATAAAACAACAATGAAGCAAGTGACACAAGTGGCCATTTATGGAGTAAAACATACTGTATTTAATTTTTTATTATCATAATTATTTTAATTTCATTAAAAGTGTAAGAATATATTTAATTTATTCGATTATCTTAAACAATATAAATATTGTTTTAAAAAAATTCGCATTTCTACTATGAACATGTATTTTGTATAACTATAGACTGCATCCAATAAAATATTATTTTGTGAGGAAACTAGTTGACAAATAACGGTTGTTTCTAAGAGCATGTATACCTTGTATGTGGCAAACAGCTAAGCAATGACAGAGTCCATTTTATATAAAAAAACGAAGTGTGTAATTGGCTTGCTTACTTGCCTAAAAACAAACAGTTAAGAGCGGGTCCCCATGTCAAGATCAAAAATCTCAGAATAACTTTTAGCGTACCAATACCACTAAGAAAATTCGTCGTGGACTACATGGAAATCGAAATGCCTCCATGGTAATCGTAACAATGGCATCAAATGTCTCGAAGTATTTTTCAAATTGAATCCTTTCTCTCTCTA